TGGGCTGGAGCTGGTGCGTGTCTCTGCCCTGGGAGGCTCCGTGGGGTAGCGAGCCCTCCCTCGCACAGCAGCTGCCCGTGCCCCTCCCCGAGCTGTTACCCCAGAAAATGAAAAATAATACTTTTTTTCCCGTTTTTTCCTCCCCCAAGGCATTTCTGCGCGCTGCCCTGGTTTTAGCTCGGCTTTGATGCCGCATTTGTGCCGTGTGGGGCAGTATGGGGTGGGAGAGGCTCCTGTGGCCGCGGGTCGTGGCCTCGTGCACCCTTCAGGTACCTCCGTTGTGTCCAGGGGCTTCCTGGAGTTGTCATTCGGCAAAAAAAAATCTTTGCTGGTTGCTTTATTTTTCTGGTAATTTGTTTTGCTGGTTTACATCTACATAATCTAGTTTAAACCATAATCAAAATATAATTGCACACCTGTAGCTCAACACCTTTGTAAGGGTGTTCTGTATGACTCTTCTAGCTAAGAATTCTTGAACCTAACAAATACAAGCTATTCTTTAAATAGTTAGTATTTATATACTATTAAGCTCCTTACATCCTTTTGGGGCATTTTAGTCACAAAATACAAATGCCTGATAGCCTAAACTGCAGATTTTTTTTGTATAAGAGAAAAATGAACAGCTTTAATTTCTCTAGTGCATTGAACAGCTGCGAGTATTGAGGATGAGTTTGGTCAGAGTTGAAGTTTTTGCTAGTCCTAGAAAAAATAGCAAGTTCTCCAAGCTTTCTGCTGTATGTAGCACTCCTTTTGAAAAGGAAGGGCCGGCAGTGGGTGAGCTAAGTAGTTACTGGTTAAGTTAGACTGAAATCTGCTCACTGTTACTGTCTTGTTTGAAGCTGTAGCTGGGCCTGTTTCTGAGACCGAGATGTTTCACCGTTGATTTGATTATATTGACTTGTTTCTCTGTAATGGAATTCTGAGTATAGAAGTGTAGAGGGCAGGGATAGAGAATTGCTTAATGTTCATTGTGGCTTAGAGGAGAAAAGGAATATTCCATATATGTAAAAGGAAGAATAAGACTCTATTCTGCATAAGAATCTTGAACTTCAGAAATACTAATGCAGTTTGCAGGATATTTGATCAAAGTCAGTCATGTGCCCCTTAACACGAAACAAAACTGGAGAACAGAGTGTTAAGTGTTTGTTTGCTGCAATATGATGTCCCCAAAATAGAACCGGGCTAGAGCCAACACTCAGGCTGCTAGTGACCATCTCTATATTAAAACCTAGTGCCACAATGGAGGCCCAATTTTAGTAGTGCCTGCAGGGACTGCTAGGAAAATACTTGGAGTTTGTATTTGCAGTAAAAAGTGATATCTCAGTACAAAAAAAAACAATAAATAATTGTTTGTTTGGCAGAAGTGAGGCTGGTATCTCGCTTTTATGTGCTCAAATTGGTACTGCTTATAGAAGTTTTTCTGTCATCCATAAACTATGAATGGTTTGACACATCTTATTGTATTGCTTATTTACACATTGCATATGTCCTCTGAGCACCATACAGAAAATGCCACTAAGTGGTGGAAAGGAGCTTAAAAAATCCCTCACTTTTAGGTGAGGGAAAATAAACAAGAATCCTTTAGACCACACAGAATTAATTGTTTATTTCTCAGAAAGAGCAGGGGACAAGTGGAACTACTGGAAAGCTTAGAACTGAACTTAAATAGCTTAAATGATCCATTATAATTGATGTCTGATGTGCAGTTACGATATAACCTTGAGAAATAGTGAACCTATTGTGCCTTTTTTGATCTTGAATAGCTAACACACTTATTAGAGAGGTGGAGGGTAAGATAATTTTGTTGCAAGACATGAGTCATCTTTCTCCTTTGACCATGCCAGCAAATGGAACATAAGTAGGTTGAGAGACCGTTCTGTCCATCTCATGTTATAGATGCTTTGAGCATAATTTAATATTTCACTAGCCAGTTAACCAGAAAAATAATACCTGTCGCTAACAGTCTGAACTATTATTCCCTGGGTTTAATCAACTCATTTTACCAACGTTTCTCTTGCCCCCCTGTTTGAGGTCTCCTATTTGGCACAGACGTCATGCGATACCCGATGTGGGAGCTGGAGACTTGAGAGCTGTTTTCCTAGACTAAATGTTTGAGGTTACAGGACATGGCCTAGTTTCACATAAGCTTTCAAATTTCAGCGGGACATGCTGAATCCTGAAACTGTCAAATAGTGTATTATTTTTAGAGTGAGAGAGAGTATATGTGTGTGAGTGTGTGAATGACCTTTACATTTTTACCCTATCCCCAAAGTCTGACTTCCTGCCCTTTCTCCCATGAGTCCTTAAAAACGTTAGCAATTAAAATGAACTCTTTTAAGGAAGAAATTCAGTATAGGAGAGAAGAATTGGAAAGGGGAATGGTATATTGAAGAGAAAATAAGGAAAGCTGTTAACTGCTATGAATTTGTTGATTTGTGGAAGACGTAGAAAAATGTGGAGGAGTTGGGAGTCTTTCATTTTTGCCAGGCTGTCTCCGTACCAGTAATACCAAGATCTGTGTGTGATTTCCTTCCCAGCCCCACAAAAGAAGCTGGAAGCTTTATTTACTTTTCATCAAAACAGTAGCTTTTTTTTTTTTTTTTTTCTGGTGAATCTTAACAAACCAGATTTGTAGAGTAAAACTCTAAGCTTACAGAATGAAACTGTCTAAACATGTTAAGTGCTCCTATCTTCTTGCTGCTGGTGTTACGTGTATTCGTTTTTAGATGCCACATAGACCCCCATCTTGCAAAGAGCTCTGCCCTTTGGATGATACTTCTCAATGAGATTGAGAAACTGTAAATTCTTTGAAGTATGTTTAGAGTGGCATCAACAAAACCCTGGTCTCTGTAGCAAACTTACATTTTTCCATTAAAATCTAAGTTGTTTTAAAATGATTTCCTTCCACATAAGGGTAATTTCTTTATATAGAGACTTACAAGTCTCTTTTGATTCTCAAGGAATTAAAATAAGAAGAAACCTTTTGATTCTCAAGGAATTAAAATAAGAAACCCGCCTGATGGGCAGGTCACTTTTAAGAGTATAAGGCTGTTAAGGAAACACGCCTGATCTTGTGTGAGCAGTGGAATTGCCTGTAGCGCCCGTGGATCTGTCTTCCTTCCTTTCATATCCTTGACAAATGGGGTCTTGCCTTTACCTGGTTGCCAGTTTTCACAAGGGCTGTAGAAACTTGTCGTGAAGACCGCCGTCCTTCGTCAGGGCTTGTTTGAAGATGTCCAGTATTTTGGGTGTGCTGGGAGGACTGGTGCATAAGCCTCTTGCTAAGGAATTGGTCCAAAATATTACCCTTTCGACCTTTGTGTTAGATGAGTCCAAAGCAATCTAATAATAATGGTAAAAAAACTAGACAGTATGTTCTTTATATGAATGCAATGTAATATGATATAGTGGTATCCATGTGGATTATAACTGTGTAGGGCCTTTTCTTATGGGAATAAATGTATACTTTCCTTTAACTTTCCAAGTATGTATTGATATAACAGATTGAGACATTCAGGGCTGTGTTCATGAGCTCTGAAGCCTGATGATTTAACAGGAAACTACTCAAAGCCTGGGAACTTGGTTTGAAAAGTGACTTTATGCTTCATTCGGCTCCCAAGACAGGGCTCCCATCGAGCTGAACTGCCCTGCTAAAGCAGCCGACCAACCAGGCTGGCCCAACCCATTGGCAGTAGCCTTGGGAGTTCATTTCTTTCCTTTGGGGAGTTACTTGTCTCATAAAGTACCACGAAGAGCTTGGAATATCTGCTGCTGTGGGTGATTTTTTCCCCTCCCGTCTTATTTCTGCTCCTGAATCCTTGTCCGTGGCACGCTACCTTCTTGGTGCCTGGTGAGGAGGAATCGCTCGTATCCAGTTTTACAACCCTCTGAATTCTTTCACGTTGAAAGTTGTTGTATGAGGCAACTTTTTGTAACAAAGCCTGAGTTTTGGAGTCAAAGCCCAAGTTAAATATGTGGTACTGAGAATAACCTTAGGTGAGTCATTTTACATTCTAGACTCATATATTTTTGTAATTGTTTATTGAGATGTGAATGATAAATACCATCAGCAATGTATGCTACTGAGTGTAGAAAGAAAACAACACCGCCCCTCTTAAAGTGTAGGCACCATCAGTCTACATGAGACAGGGTTACGGCTGGACTCGGTGATTCTGAAGGTCTTTTCCAACCATACTGATTCCATGCGGATGGTTCTATGATGTACAGGAGGCCGTAACGCGCTCCCAGTGCCATTCGCTCGGCCTGTGCGTGGTCGCTGTGGAATCCCTTCCTCGTGGCTTCCCGGAGAGGCGATTCGAGGTGGCCCTGGAGCGGCGGCCGGAGGGGCCAGCACCGGCGCGGGGCTCTGTGCTGTGGCGGGCGGAGGCCCCGTGCGCCC